TTTTTCTCATACTACAGCCTGACGCCAGTCTCCCTGAAAAATGTAATTCATTATACTTATGGTGTAACTTAAAGTTTAATGTCTGAGTTTCCTGTCTCACGATAGTCTTCATATTATAATCTACACATATATGATACAAGTCTTAGACTCATTACATTTTTTATGAGCTACATGGGCATCTTTGAAAGTGCCTCAAAGTGCCTCAAAATCTGACTTGTATCAAATCGCTTCTCCTCCTTCACCAGCCTAAGGACTGTTCAAAATCTCTGTTTGGGAGGCACAAGAAATGAGTTATGGAAATATTTGGGAGGTGAAGCCACAGTGAATTTTATCCCTTGTTAGCTTGCAGTCCCTCTTGCAGGCTTAGGTATATGCTGTTGATTATGGAGATGAGCAGCTATTAATTCAATATTTTGAGCAGGTGCGGCGTGAAGACTGTAAAGCGTGCAAAAGCCTCTGCCTCTACACACCAGAGCTGTAGTGAGCTAGCTAAATGGGTGTAGAGGGATTCACATGGCTTAGTTAGGATAAGGAACTTGCTTCAAGTGGTATCCTTCTCTTATTTTTTTCCTCTGTCTCTCTATCTCTTTCTACTACTATCTGTTTTAATACCCCAAAGGTCTTATTTACTATACTTTTCCTCTCGTATTACATTAAGTGACAACAGCATCAGGTAGCAAAAATTGAAACTTCTCCAGTCTGTTATATTCAGGTGGTTTGACAGTGCACATGCAGCTTATCTAAACATTTCACTGGTTCACTGACTTAATCAGGAAAAAGTCTGACGCACCACACTACATGTTGTGGTGCACTTTTACAGAGTTGTCCCCCTGAAGTTGAACAAATGTTTGCTCTGCTTAATGATTCACATTCCTCAGTATTTCCTCACCTTCTTTGTCAGTCTGTGCATTGTAGTTTCCTCTTTCCCTGTAAGCATCGCTTCACCCAGCTACCATGCATCTGTCTTTGCAAGTGTGCATCAAACAACAGAGGCTCCCCAGACACCATTACAAGAATCCAGGATCAAGTTGCTCTACTTTTATTTATGTGTCATTCTGGGTGTTTATATATCTTCCTGCGATGACAGAGTTTAGTGTGTTTTGACCCAGCCATTATTTCTGTGGTAAAGACCACAAAAACAGACCTTTGAGTCCCCTGAGAGATCGATTCCAAGAGTAAGACCAGAGAGAAGCAGAGAGAGAGACAGTCAGTTTAGATATTTTCAGAGTCACCCATCCACTTAGTTGTCAAGAAAGCAGCTTCTCAGCTGTCAGTTGGTGCCTGATGAAGTAGGAGACATGCTGGAGCATTAATAGAGGTGAAACAAAAATATACCATTTTTAAGTATTAAAAGCATGCATATACTGCAGCTTTTTCCTTTGGGTTTGTGTTTCTCTAGGGTAAAGAAGGACTGCAGTTGTGTGTTTGAAGGCGGCATGGCAAGCGAGGAACATTCCAAGTTTTCCACAGGAAATCAATCTATTTGAGAGGGCAGCCAGTCTAAAAATAGGGAAGTCCCAAACAACTGCGTCGGAAATAATTGCCCAGATTTTGAGGGAGCACTCAAAAAGACTCCAGACATCCAAAGTTTGCTCTGTTGACTGTTTCCATGGGGGGCTTACGGAAATATTAGTCTGGTCTGGTTGTCAAGTTGTTTTGTTTTGGCATATTTCAGCTTGTCTGCAGCTGTCAGACAGAACTGAGTCTCAATCATTTTCTTACCCACTATGACGACGTACCACTCGTCAACACAACTGCCAGCTGCCTTATTTGACAGGATATGATGATTTATCACAAGTTCTCCACAGTAAATAGACAATAACTGTTTTGTCACACTCCACTGAGTTCTAACTGGGTTTTGGGGAGTGTGCGAGGGGGTGCTGTAGGGGCCTAACGGGGGCTGATGTGTGGTTTTTAATGAGATCTCACAGCGGTGTTTAAATATTTAACCGTTCCTGGTGAAGCCTCCCCAACAGCCGCCAGGCAGAACCGGTGAGGTTTCATGCAATCATCACAGACAATACAGATTCTACCCCCTGAAAACATCAGAAAATAAGCCCAACCTGAATATATAATGGCATTATGGATACACAGCCTGCTGTGCCTAATACCAGCTCCTATTGATAGAGATGCTCTCTTTGCCCTTGCAAATAAGCGCTCAGACACCATGACAAAGGGGTGAGCACGATGATGAAAAGCCACTAAATTATAAATCAGTTTTTTAATGGGATATTTTCAAAAGTTTTCTACCCCTCCAACAAAGTAATTCCCTCATCTCTGCCTATCGCTTGCGTTTTCTTCCTCATTTTCAAGTCTTTGCCGTATGTTTTTGAAGATGCATTTCACCAGCGATCAGTTCAACTCCTACACCCTTCATGTTTTTACATCCCACTACCCATCATTCACAGAGAGTGAAGCTGGGGAGGCTGCCACCACCTGCTGTGTTCAGAGGGATGTGGTACTGGTGTGTATGTGGTGTTTTTTTTTTATCTATGCAAGTGTGAAGAGTGTGAAAAGAGAAGAGAGGTTGTAACTCTGCAGTCTCTCCTATTTCTTCACATTCCAGGCTGGATGGACAAATTTATGATGTACATCCTTTGATATCATCCCATCATAAAATCTCAAAGACTGAATCCCAATTTTTTAAATATGAGGTTACTTCAGTGAAATATGTATTTAAGTTTTAAATACCCTTGTAAACATAGTTTTCCATTTAGTTTTTGCAGTTTTACTGTTTTGAGCATCTTTCAAATCCTATTTAGTGTACTGCTTTCACACTCCAAACCTGGCAGATGTAAAAGAAGCTAGGATTTATGAGTACATAAGGCAGACCTAAGGCAGGTATGTTAAGCTCGAGGAATGCTGCAGGAGTGGGGGGGGGCAAGGATAGTATTAGAAAACACGCGTACCTGCCAGCTGGAGGAATCTGAAGGGACACGAGCCCACAGATGACAACATTTCCACAACAACTCCTGTCATTCTCGCCACCCCCATCCCCATTCCCACCTCCCTCCTCCTTTTGCCATTGGCTCTTCTTTCCCCTTTTATCTTTCACCTCCCCCATCACAGATAACCCATCAATGCCTATTTCAGCCCTCCAAAAAAATTCACGCTCAGTGCTTTGAGGCCCCACTGATGGAAAGGAGCATTATTAGCCGCTGCTAACCTGTCTTTTTAATGTGTAAAATGTTGTTTATTTGACACGATATATTTATATATAGACATTGCTGAAGGGTCTTTAGAGTTTGGCAGACTCTTGGTACCAAATCATATGCATGAATCCTCTTACGACGCTGCTTCATATAACTGCCAAATGAGGTTCACTAAGGCTTTTGCCAAGGGACCCAGACTACTATCTAAACCCCCCACCTAACACACTCCTAACACACACACAAAAAAAAACACCTTTTTCCTTTCCCAGTCCCCCCTCTCTACCTCAGTCTCAACTTGTACCAACCCAATGCCCTCCCATCCCTCAGCCATCCCCTACCCCTTCAGTCTCCATACCGCACTCATTATTAATGATCTAAGGGACAGTTTTCATTTGATCTATTAGTTAAGATGGGACAGCGGCTGCTGTGTGGCTGCATCCCCACTGGATCTTTAATTATTTCATGGAGGGCTTTCCTCCGCACTGCTGCTCCTTCTCTGTTGTGCAGATGAAATATTGAAGCTGTGGAGTGTAGTGCAAAGTGGCCTCACATAGGGTGAGTCGTGTGTGTGTATACATCCATGCACTTGTGTGCCCATTTGGCCCTTTGCCCCCTTCTTTTCTCAACCACACTCCATGTGTATGTTTTGGCGATTGCTTGTGCAGCAGAGCTTCCTCTGCAGTGCTCAGATGGACCCCGGTTTTTCACTACATGTGGCTCTCACTTTTATCTTGCAACATCAGCCCCAGATTGGAAGCAGATTGCGTTTCTTATTAACTTTAGCCTCAAACCACAGTTCCTCTCCGAAACAGCGTGCGAATGTGCAAATTGCTAATATTGTTAAGACCTCTGAGTGTATCTTGGCAACACAAGAGAAACAACAGGAAAAAAAATCCCTAATGTCCCAAAAAGAAAAACACTGTGACAAATGTGAATTGAATTATTTCTCTGCCTGTGTAATGCACTGTGATTATGGGCCATTAATGTCATATTACAGTAGTTTTGACGAGCATTAATAGCATGATGTCACCACTCACTTTTTTGTTGCCAAGAAAATCAATGCTTAACAGCACTGACAGGGAAAATATGGCCGATGCAAACACAACTTTGCATTCAGGTAAGATATATGGCATAAAGCCTAATTGCTTTGCTCTCACACATTTAGGACTCTCTATGTAAATGGCCCATCCAAAGAGTCTCCAGGCAGCTGAGGGATTACGAGTTCAGTAAACTGTAGTGAGATACCTCATGTAGAAGGAATCCATATTCTATAAACATAATGACACCTTATTTTACTTTATGTGGCTTCATGCAGTGGTAAGATTTGCATCTACTGCACTCAGTAAATGCTGTGAATTGCTGCAACTGGCATTAGGATTAGTTCATGCACTTATGTGGGGGAGCATTGGAATGACATTGATATACAGCGCTCCATTAATTGCCATATGAATGGAGTCTGCATTGGTTGGCGCTCTGCTGATGCATCACAGTAAAAAAGATGGGTCACTCTGTCTTCTCCAGCCCGCAGCTTTGCCAAGCTCATAATTACTAAAACCCTCAATTAATCTTCCCATCACATAGGCCAAATATACACTTCCTCCCTTTACAAATGAGTTACAGTATGTGCTCTTAACCAACGTGGGCACTTGTGTGTTTACACAAGTAGGTGTGTGTCTGTACAGTTATGTGTGCCTGTGCTCATGAGGACATCAAGCACAAAGAGCACTGAATGATGTCAGTGTCTCTGTAGGTGCTTTATGAGCCACACAAGTTATCAGCACAAGTGGCATGAAGGGCACTCGCCATCTCCAGCACACCATTAAAAGCATCGCTTTTGTAAAACAGCAGAACTAATATTTCACCTGACCCAACATTTTTTTTCAAACAAGCTTGAACAATGTTTAACTTCTTTATTGGACTTCAATACTTTTCATAATAGGACAAGCATAAATGTCTACAGAAATTACTTCAACAAGAAACACTAGAAACAACAGATTGTTTTAAATAATATACTTTGCACAAAATAAAAATGTCAAATCAAACAAACAAACAAATTAAATAATCATTCCAAACATGGCTGGGTGGGATTTAACAACTCAAAGTGAATGTGCACAGTTGTGTCTTGTTTTAGGTTTTGGCTAGAAAACTGGAAACAAACAATAGCCCCATCAATAAAGCACCGTGTTGAGTGAGGTTGTGTTAAAGCGTTTGCAGGGTTGTTGTAGTTTGGGTAAGACTATTTTCACACTCAAACTGTTTTGTTTCATTATCAGTCTGCTAAGACTCATACTTTTTTTAAAGTAAAATCAAACTAAATAGTTCTCACATATCTTTTCTATCCACTTCCTTAGTGTCTGTACAAATAAAAGTGAGAATACGTGCTGTCCGCAGGCAACACAATATGCTCTTTTCAGAGACCACACACATCAGTTATATACACTATTCTCGATAATACTCCTATGTGAGTTTGTGTGTGTCTGCATTAATATGTATTTTTGTTTGTAGCAGGCGGTTCTGGCTCCTGGCCACTCAACCTTTACTCATTGTGAGCAGAATCTCCTCTCCACACTTGAATCTGGCCACCTGCCCTCCTGCAGTCACATTGACAACACCTTACTGGCACCTAGTGGTCAAAAGAGGAACGTCACCCTCTTGACACTTGCCTGCCAGCAGGAGAGATGGAGAACTGTTTACAAGTGGCATTTGCCCCTAATTAAAAGCAGCACTTGTTGGAGCACTTGGTCTGCAGAGGGACTAGCATCCACAGTGACGCAGGCTGGGCCACTGATCCTCCGATAAGCCTCTTCCACTCTGCATATACACACAAACAGATTGGTCAACAAGTGAGGAACGCAGGCATGTAAACAGGGGGCAACATTGAAATGTCTGACATTCGCAGCTTCGCAGCGCAGAGAAGACATCATTTACATTACAAATGTGAGCGGTAACGCAGATATTTCGGGGTGCAGGTTCTCCCTGAGTCCGGAGAGCAACCAGACCAGTGATTGCGACTGACAGTCTGCTAAATCTCTCTCTTCCGGGAGCAGCCACTAACTCCCTCCATTTTCTAATTCTGCTGGCCCAACATCTGGCTGTCCCATGCGGACAGGCCATTATGTCAGGACAGAAGATGAATGAAAGTAGCCATCGACCTGTCTGAGCAGCGACTAACTGGGCCGACAACGGCTGCGAGTTTTGACCAGCTTAATGGAGCACAGCAGCTCAGCAACTAATCACCTGCTCTTTCTCATCAGCCGCTTCCCTCGTGGGACGGTAATTGATTGTTAAGTGTTTGATGGATCAGAGAAAGACTGACCTGGGTTGTCTGTGAGCATGCTCTACGGTAGGTGCCCATCTGTGGTTTTTGCAATCAAAGTGAACTTCCTGCACCTTGTGTGAAACCATTTTTAAAAGTGACATGTGACTCAAGATTTTTTCCCTGCTTGTTCTTTTCCCTGTCATTGCCTGCTTGAGGGCCAAAAGAATTTAGCTGTTTTTCAATCATAACATCAGCTGCTCTATGAGGGCTGCAGTCAATGCCAGACGAAAATGTATTTTTTTTGCCTTAAGCAAGAAGGAAATGGATCAAGAACATATATTTCTAGAAATATTTCATTTATTTGAGGACATTACTTTTATAAAAAAGGATAACTGCGAGTTTGATGAGCTACCCTTATCTAATTAACCTTTTACACCAGACTCTTTGCTTTAAATAGCTGTGCAGACTCACTTGCTAAAGGAGAGGTAATCCTAGTAATAGTTCTGAAATATATGTCAAATAATAGATTAAAGAAAATGAAATGAAAAATGCTGCCAGTCGGATCAATTAATCAAGATTAAGGTATTTTTATTCCTAGTGATGGCATTTTAATTCCTTCTGTAATTGAGATTGATTATGCAAATACTCATTAAATGAAGTTGTTTTACAGAACGAAAAGTCAACCAAACTCTAACCATAGCATCCGTTATGAGCACGCTCTCTGTCTCACCTGAGTCTAAAAAGTCGGTTGTGATCCAGTTCTTTCTCCTCATCAGTCTTCATCTGACCTCTGTTTCTCAGCCTCCTCTCCCTCTCCTCGGGGTCCAAAGTGAGCAAGACCACCAGGCTGGGCTGCAGCAGGTCGCCGGGCCACCGGTAAACCTCCGAGCCCGCCGGCGGAAGGTTGCACACCGGGCCGCTGACCGCCGTGGCGATGGCATACGCTGCTGTGCTGTGCCAGAACCTGGGGACAGATAACGGACGGCCGATTGAAGGTGAATGACAGATGACCGTGCCGTCCAATGACTCGGTCATCATTAAACATTGAGTTGGACCCAGTGGGATCCAAAGCTTCAAACAGGTTGAAAAGAGCTGCGAAACAGAGGCATTTCAGCTGTGTTTACCTGTCAACTATGATGGGAGTCTTCATGGCCTCTTGGCTTATTTGCTCTGCAGTGATATAGTTCCCCAGAGCGTAGAAAGCCCTGCGAATGAGCGGGGGCTCTTGATCAAAGCGGGCTCTCCAGGGGGATAGGCTCTGAGGGGGAGAGCGTAGAAGAGTGGCACCCAGAGTATCCTTCAGAGACTCCGTCAGAGTTGTCTTACCTGTGATGGGAAGAGGGGGCAAGGCAACAAAATGCACATTTTCATGATACGAAAACAAGAACTCGTCCTCCTTCTTTTCCCTTCTCTCTCTCTTTGCATCAAATTTAATAAGGAACTGAAGTGACGCTTTAAAAGTTTACCACAAACTCCCATTTGACCAGTAGCGGAGTATTCATGAGGTTTCCAAAGAGTATTAGATGAGCGAGCAATCCAATAAAGCGTTTTCATAGTGATGTAAGATTTCTGAGGTCATGATACGCGATAGTCCATTAGGCCAAGCTCACTGGCAGATAATGTTTTTAGCAGAGAACAAGCGGACATCACTTTAGCGAACATTTATGCATCAAGCTGATCACATATTTATTTATGAGGTAATGGCATTAACCTGTGGCATCCAGGCCCTCGATGACAACGATGGGGAAGTCTGGTTTTCTTCGGGCTTTCTCTCTGCTGGGAAGCGTCTCCAGCACAGACGTGGCCTCGGGGATGATGTCACCGCACTGCAGAACAGACTAAATCAGTTTTGCTGCTGTGAGAAGAGGCAGGAGGTGGTCACACACTGGGGTGCGCGCGAACACACGCTGCCTTTGGCCACCTGACGCACTGCTGTGCCTTCATCCACCACAAGAGGGAGCCATTCTGCCAAATCTTACCAAAACAGCACCACTGCGCTGTTTGTTTGTTTTTTACATACCTTTTTTAAAACGTCATAAGCCTCGTCAAAGCTGTAGAAAACATCAGAGTTGATTATGTTGAGGGTGGAGGGGTGATACGGCGGTGCCTCTGTTGGTACCACGGAGTACTCCACTGGCATTTGCAGCGTTTTGCTTTCTGCCTGTGACCACAAACGTTGGGTCCACTGTCCATCCTCACCCCCAGAGTATGAACACACCAGCACAGGGTCACGCCGCTCCAACTCCCTCAAAACGCGCTCAGTGTGGGGGGAATCCTCCGTGCTGCTTTTTAAGAAGTAGCCCCTGACGAGAGAGTCCCTCACGTCTGGCAGAAACGAGGAGATGGCAGCCAGATCACAGCCCGCTGGCAGCTCTCTCAACAGTTTGTCTTTCAGCTCCCCGTAGAATTTGGCCCTTCTGATTCTGTCCGGGCTGCAGACCAGGAGCGAGTAGCACCTGTCCTGCTTGTGGAATTGAGCGAACACGCGTGGCGCCTTTTCTTCTCCCCTGTGCTGCTCTTGAACTCTAAAATAAAGAGGCGGCGTCCCGTCCAGCTCCAGTAAAAAGATACGCGAAGACCACTGAGAAAGAAAAGTCTTAACGCGTCTCGCCATCTTTATTTTTTCTCTCTTTTTTGGCACCACCAGCCGCTAGAATCTACTCGGAAAGGCGTGGAGTTTATCTGCCCCTCCGCAGCTGCTGCTGCTGGGAAAACGAAAGTTAACAGGGCTGAAGGCAGAAACGAAACTTTAAAGCCAGCGCCTCCAACTCCCTGGACAGCAACGACATCCCTTTAATCCGAAAGTTAAGAGCGAATGCGCAACTGAAAGCAGCATATTTCAAAGACAGCACTGAGGTGTTTGATGTATTGTCCAAGACATTTTCCAAAGCAAACTAATGCCTTCAGACGGGACATGCAAAAACCTGTTCGAGCAGATAAAGCACCCTTTCACAGCTTATATTTTACGCCAAACAGCAATAATATACGATTTTAAATCAATATAACACGTTGCAATGCACTTCACCCATCCTGATTAAGTATTTGTTTTTATCTTTACGTGTTGTTTTATGTGAAAAACACATGCAGGTCTTAAAAAATGTTATCACATCTTCCGGAAATAAACTGATAAATGTTTAGCAAGCATTTTAATTTCTCTCGAATTAGGCAAACATGACTGCATTGTATTGTTTTATTTAAGTAGCTTTTTCCAACAAACCGTTGCTGACGGCTGGAAACGTTTTTAGGGCTTTAGCCTATTAGTTGTTTTGTTGAGAAAAAAGGGATACAAATATTACTGAGTTATCAACCAAAGCCGGGGTCAAAACCACTGGACATGTTTTAAGGAGTGGTTTTCTCCTAACTTTGGTTCAATATCCTATGAAATGACTTCTCCATACGCCATCAACTGCGCTGTTATCTGTGATGGCGTAAGAATAAATCATCAAGAAATGCAAGCAGTCCGGTATTTCAGCTGGGTTTCGTTTTCCGTGTTTGTAAACAGAAACAGTTTGCCCAGCTCAGCTGACCACCTCTCCGGACTATTTAAACAGCGCATCGGAAAACTGCGTCATTCACAGGGCGAGCAGCGGGTGTGATAGAGTTCGTCTGGCCTAAAGATGCTTCTTTCTTCACTTTTCGCATCTCCCAGGGTGCTTTTGCAGCTCTGCGTCAGCACCATCCATTGCATGATTGCGAGTTTCATCTCAGTTGTTCTGTACTGGACGAGAGGAGCTTGTGTTGGAGGAAACTCTGCAGCTGGATACAAGCTGCAGCAACGCGTCACCACTCCAACGAGTGTAAACTATCACTTTACGCGCAAATGCAACTATAAATGTGGGTTTTGTTTCCACACTGCAAAGACATCCTTCGTGTTGCCTATTGAGGAAGCAAAGCGAGGACTCAGCCTGCTGAAGGAAGCAGGTAAGAATGAGCCAGTTCTCCTCAGCTGGTCTCCTTTTTGTTGGGTCAGATCCTGTTGTAATTAGTCTCGTCTTTTCAGGTATGGAAAAGATTAACTTCTCTGGAGGAGAGCCCTTCTTGCATGAGAGGGGAGAGTACCTCGGGGAGCTGGTTCAGTACTGTAAACTGGACCTGCAGCTCCCAAGTGTCAGTATCGTCAGCAATGGAAGCATGATCAAAGAAAAATGGTTCCAGAAATATGGTAAGATCCCACATTAGTCCAAATCAAGAGTTATAACTCTCCACCATGCTGCACAGTTTTCACATTGCATTTCATAAGATGGGGAGTTTGGTCATGTGTTCACCTGTTTTCTTTCTTTTAGGGGACTACTTGGACATCCTAGCCATCTCCTGTGACAGCTTTAATGAGGAAACCAATCAAACAATTGGCAGAGCTCAAGGCAGGAAGAGCCACGTCGATAGCCTCTACAAGATCCGTAACTGGTGCCAGCAGTATAAAGTGGCGTTCAAAATCAATTCTGTCATCAACACATTCAACATTGATGAAGACATGACAGAGGAGATAAACCGCCTCAACCCGGTCCGCTGGAAGGTAAAAATAAGAACAGAAAGCGTGCGCATCTGTGTCCACTGGCATGATGAATGATGAGTGGCATCTCTCACGTTGTCTGGGTTTTAAGGTGTTCCAGTGTCTGTTGATCGACGGGGAGAACGCGGGAGAGAAAGCCCTGAGAGAGGCGGAGAGATTTGTGATTAGTGACCAACAGTTTCAGGAGTTCCTGGACAGACACAGCAGCGTTTCCTGCCTTGTTCCAGAATCTAACGAGAAGGTAAGGGGCCGGAAAAAACACCAGTAGAAATACGACTCTGTGTTTCTGATCAAGACTGTGATTGGGATGGTACTATTAATAAATTCTGCTTTAGGATTAAAGTAAATATACTGCACTAGTGGGACTCAAGATGTTCCTCTCTAATTCAAATGATGTGATTGTGAGTGTGTTTATTTTGGAGCAAAACAACACCACCGGAGTATTTGGCATGGAAATCACATGACCATGTTCAAAATAAGTGTCAAAATCTAAACCAACCTCCATTCAATCTGTGGCGTTTGTTGCCTTCACAGATGAGGAACTCCTACCTGATCCTGGATGAGTATGTAAGTACTTTCTATAGTTTACAGCTGTTGATATGACTTAGTCACAAAAGTTGCTTTAAAGAAGAGCATTCTATCCCACATTTATTTGGTATAATATTTTAAACAAGCAACTTGCCGTGAATACGTTTACATTCCTCAAAGCCTTTGACAGTAGGGACGGCTGTTATGTAGTGAGGGTTTATGTGTGTGACTCCCGGTCTCATTGCCTGTTTCTTTATCTTTCAGATGCGTTTCTTGGACTGTCGTGAAGGAAGGAAAGACCCATCAAGATCAATCCTTGATGTTGGTGTGAAGGACGCCATTTGCTTCAGTGGCTTTGATGAGAAAATGTTTTTTGTAAGGGGTGGGAAGTATATTTGGAGCAAAGCTGACATGAAGTTGGAATGGTGAAATTCTGCCAATCCCTTTCGCAAATTCGCTAAATGTTTGCACACATTATGAATGTTTGTATATTTATAAATATGCTTCTAACGTACTTTGCTGCTTGTTTACTGGTGTAAAAATACTATATGTTATATTACAAGTTTTACATATGAAAGGTATTGTAAATAAAAGTGAAACTTTGTTTGCTGAAATCTATTATGATACTGAATTTCAGGATGTTCCATAAAGCAAAAACATTAAAGTTTATTTCTGCCATGACCCTTTTCTGCCGTGATTTTAGAGATTATCCTGACAAGCCCCGACCTGACTAAATATTTTTGTATTAAAGAATAGGAAATGCGGAGAATTAAGGTGGTCATTGGCTTTTGTAACATGAATTATTGTGAAATAACTAGAATAATGACCTGATCTCATTCAGTCAGAATCAATCATGACTCCAGGGTATGGACTCATTCTTTTAGTCAGCACAGCACAAACACCCATCAGATATCTCAATCCAAACAATACTAAGATGTTTATTGCCCTGTTGCTCAGAGAATGTCGGTATTTTTCTGTTGTGGTAACCTGGCAACGTTGATTGCATCTATTATAAGTTTAACGCACAAAAATAAAATAGAAAAGTTACAGGAGACTGCATATATCTGAACTTTATTGATCCAGAGCTTGGATCAGTAATGTACATCTGACACTGATTCTAATAAAGCAAACTTCTTTTCAGAAATGCTGAGCAAATTAAGCTTGTAAACAGAGGGTTAGTGAGGTGGATACGAAAAATACATACAAACCATTTATTTTTCAGTCCCCGCTGAGTACATCCATCAATAAACCTCCCTTTATGCTCATTCCATTAGACAACATCATAAGGAAATGCTTTTTTAAGCATTACGTAGGCATCTTCCTTCATGAACCAGTTCTACAATCTGCATTGATTGTATCATTGATGCCAGTTTCATGATGAAGTTTACTCCCTGAAGGGTTTCAGTAAGGCCAAGTCAAGCGGTCTGGCATGTTTCAGCAGAAATGGAAGTATAGCCACTTCTCCACACCCTCGATGGGATCAAACATGATTCAGCTGAATGACACTCATCCAAAGTTACCATACTTTTACATGCAAATATAATTAGAAAAAATTGAAATATTACTTTTTTCGTCTCCCCTCCTGCCTCCAGAGGAATCCAAACATAGCATTGTGCTTCCAAAGTGACATTTTTGTGCTGCTTAGAGAAGATTCCTCCTTTCTACGGCAAGATTCCTCTTTTCAGAAACTTTAAGCAAATTTAATTACTAAGAAAAAACTGTTTGTGTTGAGCTTTTAGGCCATACGACAGCTCTTGGTGCTTCAGTTGGTTTCTTTCAATCTTGGCCTCTTAGAGAATGTAACCAAGGCTGTCTAATCACACTGGCTTTTGTCCCGCTCTCTGTGAGGTCAGTGGAACTGCTGCCTGTGGATGACTTTTGCAGCTGCAGGTAATCATGCGACTGAGATCGGCCCAGTTCACTGGGTTAGCATGCGGACATCAAACCGTGTTTCTCTTTAAAGCATGGAACCCTGTCCTCACAACATTAGGTCAATTATTGCCAACCTAGTGAGCCCTTCTATTCACTACGGGTTGAAGACATTCAATCTCCAGTGATTTTGTAAACAGTTAATCCAATCAGCAACAGTGACTGAAGAAAACAACCCCTGCTTGTTTCTGTTTGTAACGCAATACTTCTGAATCAACTATTGAATGTGAGTTTTGTGTCATATGCACATTATCCTCCGAACTGATTAGAATCCTCAGATTAAGCAAGTGTTTTTATTGTGTGTTGTTTTTTACCTCTATAGGTAAGGGTCTTTAGAATCTATCAAATCTACAGCCTGTATGAGTCAGTGACAAGAAAATAGAATAGACATGGAATTTGAAAAGATGATGTAACTTCCACAGTGATATTTGGTAAAGACTGTGAGGACAGAAAACATGAGTGTTGGACATCACATAACAAATGAAGTTATCTTTCCATTTTTTTTTTTCTTTTTCTGCTATTCTTGGGTGTGCTCTGACGCTAACTGTACACCTGCGTCTCTGAGGAGCGCGATTGCAGCCTTTGACCAGCAGGGGGAGCTCTCGGCCGACGGGAGGTGGCCGCTAATGGATCCTCCTCTGAGGGGGGGCAGCGTAGGACAGAGCACTGGAAGCCTCTCACGCAGACAAATGGCGTCCGTCCAGTGAGGAGCAGCTGATTTTCCCCACCGAGCCCAGCAGCGGGGAGCAGATATGAGGTAAACACGCCGGTCCCCCTGGATGTGTTCGCAGCCGGATGCACGTCGGCGGCGTTGGTTGGCGCAGACTGACGGCCGGACGCTGCGCACCGCTCGGTGTTAGAGAGCCGAGCCTCTGCTGCTGCTCCGGTGTATAAACAAGCTCTCTCTGTCTGTCAAGCCACAGCAGAGAGGGGGGGGGGGGAGAGTCAGCTGCAGCCCGGGGGCTTTCCTACCGGTTTGCTTCTTTATGCGCGTCGTTCTTTGTTTTTCGTTGGTGTCAGAGCTGTAAAAAGGCCCGAATTCAAGCGCTTTTTAGGGGGGGGGGGGGGGGGGGGGGGGGGTGGGGGGGGGGGTGTCAAATGCTTCCAACCCGACGTTTCAAGGGATACATAATGAACACGGGCATCTCCCCCTCAGAGATGTCCTCCCCCTCCGCCTGACTGACTGGACGGCCGCCTCTTCGTTAATCCAATTCAGGAGATCATCTTTTCAACCCCTCCTGAGGTCACAGCATCGAGACGGCGTTATCTCAGCAAGCCAGGTAAGGCTCTGCTCCTCTCCCTGTGCAAAACCGTTTAATATCAATTTTTTACTGTCGTGTTATTGTCCCGAGTCTCCTCTTTTAGCCTTAAGACACTCTGGCCACTGGCAGTTGTTCTTAAGCCTGTTTGCGGAGGCTTTTAACTCTGTATTAACCTCATTTAGACCGGACAGCTGTCCCTAAAGGTTAGCAGTGGACAAATGCTGCAGAACGACATCAGTCAAGTTTTTATTTTTTCCATTCTGAGCCAAGGATGCTTGACAGTTACCGTAATCATTTCAGCTCCTTAGATAATGTTTGTCTCCCACACAACAGCTGCATCTGAACCCTAAAGCCTCCGGTGCACAGGGTGGACGGCTCGGAAAGGTCATTTGGTGCCCTGGTATTTCCATTTTAAGCGGCGGGTCCCTATCGGGGTGCAGTCGTGTAATAGGCATTGCTGCGAGAGCAGGCTGATAGACAAACAGAGCTTTTCCTGCGCTCCGCGGGGCTCCGGGCTGCGAGTTTCCTTCCATTCTCTCTGATGTAGGCAGTTTGGCATGTTTGCAGAGTGACGGTCTGAGACCTGAGCTGGGGAAGAGCAACACACTGCCGGCATTGTGAAGACTTTATAGCCATCTGATGTCACAGCCAGGCAGAAAATGGATGGACTGTGCGGTCCTGAAGAAGCATATGCTCCTCTGAATAAGGCCTGTCCGGGCGTAAACGGGCTTTTAAGACCCCTCTCGTCCCGTGCTATCGATTTTCACTCTGATTTCTTGCTTCTAGACATATCATCACCGGAGTTGTGTTTGCAAACACGTGCCTTCTTTAACACTCGGAGGATGACGTGAGTTTCACTTAGAGGCATCCCTGTCTGTGCTTTTAAAGAACAGGCTCCCATCAGGGAATAAATGCACAGAGCCGCTCCTCCCTTCAATTTGCTGCCACATATTTCTGTCCAAAACAAGAGGTAGCACACTCCTCACAATGACCAGCAGCGGTCAGCCTGTTCCCGGAGGAAAGTGGTGATGGAATGAGGTTAGCATGCCTTGATCTCAGCACGCCATCACAGTCTACACCCTTCCACACACACACACACCCATAAATATACATGGAAACATATGCAGGCTCACTCAATATAGACTAGGATGATTGTTTAGTGTGCTGTGACTTTGCACAGTATAGGCCGTTTCTCTGCAAGGGTTGTGTCGATTAAAGCTCACTGAGAGGTTCTGTCTGCTTAGTACCGAAATATCCCTTTAGTTTTTCCTAAAGATTTGTTTATTATGTTGCATGGTTATGAGAGGCTTTGACAAACATCCATAAGACTTCCAGCTGGATGTTTGAGCCGCGCTTTTCTGGCCCGATGGAGGATTAATCGTATCATGTGACTGTGGTATCTGTGGGGGCCTGTTGTGCGTGTCATGGAAACAGTTTTTTTCTGTGCTTCTTGATTTGTCGGGTGTCACTTCACCTACTTGTGCAATCGCAAAGGTATGTCTGGGGGGTAATAAACACGGATCAGGCGTGGTTTCCCAGACCAGGATCCATCTGTCCTGGAGAGGCAAGAGTTTTAACTCTGGTGCTCTCTGGGTCACAAAGAAGCACCTGATGGTAAAGAGATTAGAAATGCGACATCCATTCAGTTTAAATACTACTAAGTAGCGGTTAAAACTTAATTACTGTCAGTTCCTGGCTTGTAAAGGCTTGTCAGCGCGGTGGCCCTGGATTGATGAGGCTCTGTGAGGCCTTGGCCGCACTAAATGTTAAACTGTCCCGGTTAAGTATACGGGCTTTCTTTGAAACCACCTCCTGTCTCGTCCATAAAACGCATTGCTGCAGTGTTTCTGTTCCCCTTTATTCCAGTAACCTTTACATGCGCTGACGAGAAGTCATTTTGGTGTAATCTGACTTCGGGGGTCTGCATTTGTGCTGTCAGGTGGCCAAGGCTTATGCAACCACCTAAATGCCACTTCAGAAGGGGATTGTGAGTGAGAGTTCAGGGCAGTGCCAAATTCCAGGTGAACTTTGTTTGAATGATGGCAGCTTTGGCTGTTCAACGCTGAACCCTGAATATCCCCTGAAAGTGATGCCGAACACTCAGAGAACTTCACTTTTGCGTAGTGTGGCTTCCATCTAGTCGGTTGGGATCGTATTGGGACAATCAGGGGTTGTTATGAAAGCCTAATGGGATGCTGGCCTGTGCCGGGCTGTATTTGCGTGTTATTCCAGGCAGTGGTTTGGCTGCTTGGCACTCTGAATTGTTCTCACAGGCTCCATTTTCCCAAACAGGTATGGCTCGTAAAGCGAGACACCGTTATACGACGCTCCAAAGAATCTGCTGACCATCTGATACATCTTAAGATTTAGCATTTCAGGGTGTGTGTGTGTGTGTGTGTTTGCAGCTCACCTTTGGGGTTCAGCATCAAATGGGGAAAAAGCTCAGCTCCTTATTTTTTCTTAGATTAGAAGCTGAAATGTTTTGGGGGGTTTTTGTGTCCCCCTGAAATTGCAAGTTTTTTAAAAATTTGCTTTTGTTATTTTCTTGAAGTTTACTGATGCTGAGAAAAGAACGACCCAAAGTATGATGATGCCACTTCATTATTTGGAGAGATTCCAGGACAGCTATATCGAAGTCTTTTTCTTCACAGGAAGGAGAACCTAATTATAAACATCTGAAATATTTTCAAAAGCGAGTTTGGTGCCTGTCCCACACATTCCCATGCCTTTGGTTCCTTTCTAAAGTAAATAATTGGGGGAAAGAGTTGGAGGAGATTGTGATTTTCCGTCTGTGGTTGGCTCAGCAGACTTTAGCTGAACGACACACCAC